CGACAAATTTCTTTTTACCTTGATAAATAGAAGGAGAACGACGAAGGGGATGCATACTTCTTTAAAACACCAGTGCGAATCAATGGTGTGTACAGAGGTTTGACCCTACACCCTTTTGTAGGGTTCCTTTTGCTCCAATCCCTTCGTCTACAGGTTCAGATGGTAAATTGATTATTAGTGTGAAAGTAAGCTGACCGTATGATTTACAACGATCACATAATATCGTACGGATTTTTTTTAAAGTCCACAATGTTCCAGTTTAACATTCGGAACAACATGCGATGTGCTTTATTAACAATACACCTACAGAGTCTGACGTAAGTGTACTCTTCAACATCGATCATACAACAAACCAATTACTCATGTGTCTCTTTTTGATTCGCTTTTACCTTACATCAATAAACAAGTAGATGTTTATCATATTTACGCTTTACTGTATTCGGTTTCCTTGATTTGTCTTTAACGGACTATTTAAATTAGCGAGAGCAAGTCAATACTTATATTCAACAAATTCAGAATACAAACTATTGTTTGTGTTTATGAGAGTTGTTCGGCGTAGACTCTTTAATCCAACATGTGGAAAAATTATTTTGACTCTACCCGTTAGGACCTTGGTCTAAAATTTGAAAACAAAGGAATAGATGCTGTGAACAAAAGTATTATTTTGAATCGTAAACAAGTTCAGCCTTGGTCGACACCAAGTTTCATGTTGGTCTACACCCTGCATTTATACACTGAATTGACGACGAATTTTCCGTTATATCCCGATAATGACAAGGAGCACACGGTGGGTGTGACCGGTCGACAGGGGATGCTTACACCTACATGGCACCTGATCCCATCTCTGATGTTCTGGAGGTCCGTGTTTGCTCTGCTCCTATTTTTTATCGGTTTATGGACTTTGATATTGAGGACTGTTCGTTATCTCGATATCCTTCATTTTAGATATTCTCAAACGGTTGCTTCCAAACTTTGCAATAAAAAAAAGACCTCTAGTGCCCAGAAATCTAAAACAAAATCATCTTATGGTTCTTTCTCTTTTTCTTCTTTCAACTGGAGCCCCAATGAACAAGTAATTACTGGTGGAGTAAATATCATACAATTATTGCTGTGTTTTGAGGTCAATACAATGATTTAGCCATCTGAGGAGTACGATATTCACCGAGCCCGGAGGGCGAGGTGAATATTGTACTTCGAAGATGTAAATAAGATGAGTGTCCTTAAAAGTGCAACAGAACTTAAGAAAAAATTGATTTTTTTTTTTTGGGAATTCTAAAACTTCAAAACGTATGACTTTTCTACACTTTATACAACCATATCTTAGATAAATTAAAACATTACGCTATATTATAAGGAAAACTGCTTTTTCAAAGAAAACAAAACTAGGAAACTTTCATATCATCAGCAAAATCACACTGATTCTGTACGCAAGAACTCAAAAGCTGATATTAAAAAGAAGCGGGAGTTCCTCATTAACAATATTTATGTAGTGTTTGGAGCTTCCATCCAACTCTTGGAATCTTGATTGGCACCAAATACACTCCTTTTATAAAATGTATTGCTTTTTATTCCATTTACTCATCAGTCTTCCTGTTTATTCGTTACACAAAAGAATTATATGAGAATGGCAATTTTTAAGTCTCGTGGGTAGCGCAGTGGTAAGAGCGTCTGCTCTAGAATCGCAAAGTAAGGTACGTCGCGGGTGCGATCCCAGTGTGGGACGTGGAAACCTGTCCTACGGATGAGACCGTATAAAACGAGGTCCCCTGTCGCAGTAGGTGCTTGCACGAAAAAAGATCCTTTACTGCTCAATGACCCTAGGTGTCGAGAATAGGACAAAATGTTTAGCTCTCCATCGGCAAGTGGTGGCGTCTCCATATAATTGAAAAATTCTCAGGAGTGACGTTAAACAACACCAATTAATATTAAAATTGAATATTGCGATAGCGCGGTATGTTAATTTGTCGGCACGGCCAGGTGTGTTATAGGACCTACGACATCCAAAAATATGAATTCAATGGTTATATTTAGATTCTCTAATTTTTCCTCTTCATAATTCTTTATTTCGTTAATCTTTAATGTAAATTTAGCGCCCTTCAAAACATGGTGTGCTTAATAGACACGAGTCTTTTGTGACGTTATAAGTTACACAACGCAAACGAACAACATTACCAGAAAAAATGACAAATTAATTTTAAAGGCACTTTTGTTGTTATTACGTTAATTTAACAAGTTTATAGTTTTTTTTAATTGAATCGAGTCAAAACAATGTACATATTGATGTTTTAGAGTGTTGAAAAGGCATATAGTTCCTACTGTGTATTCTAACGCGCGATGACAAGGTTTCGCGTGTGTTTTAGAGATTTGAACGTCGTGGATTTCTAATGGATTTCTTAAAGAAAATTACACTGAATGTAAATATTCAATCACAACCTTTCATTTGGGTCGTATTTTGGCTCGTTTGTTTCATATCAATAGTAAGAGATTATATTTGTACTAAATTTGTATAAGATTTGTTCCGTCTGCTTGATCGATGCGAAAGGATCATGCGTGTTTACCAGGTCGTTGGTGGAAGTGTGCTCATCTCGGAGCTGATCCAATCATTGGAATTTCCAGGGTTCCACGTTTGTGTCCTGATTTCAGATTTGTATTGCTTGAAATTTTTTTTGTAATCGAATTTTGTTCGCTGTCTTTGTTGCCTCTTTTCATGTAAAGTAGTACAAAACACCCATAGAATCTGTTTAACTCACTCCTTATGAGTACACTACAAAACAAGAATAATATTACTATAAGATCAATAATCAATGATTTCTGTAAAAAAAAAAAAAATAAGTAGCTCTGAACTGGTTTGTAAAAATCAGAGAGTCCTATATACTGCAAATCACTTTTTATTCCATAGAATTTTATTTTCGCGTAAATACGTACGCGAGAGAGTGTGCTCGCGAAAATTTAATTATGGCGTATAATAGTATTCCTCAGGATTACACATGTATAGAGTAATAACCACAATTCGTGAAAATTTTTATTGCTCATTAGAGTCAATGACTATCTCACGAAAAAAGGTGTCGGGAAAATTCAGTGATCTACAGTATTGGTCATTTTAGATACCATATGTTTGGTGTTTTATGCCAAAAACACACAAAATGAAAAATCATTGATTAGATGCAAGGTAACTTTTAATGCATTTTAGTAGAGACCCAATATTTGGACATAATTATTAAAAGTATTACTTCTTTAACGCAATATAAGCGTACTTCGTTTTTGCATTGAATTTTTTAACTCGCCAAAATATCTGAAACTACCGGTTAAGTGTTTCTCACTTTGACACATTTTGTGACACGTGCATTCCAATCATTATTAATTTTTGGTAAGAATAAAATAAATAAATTATACATTTATGGACTGATGAGCTTTAATACTGTTCGTTATTTCCATATATTTAATAACGTAAATTTTCAATTCCTAGGATATGTATTTTCTATTTTTTCATCACATTTTACTTTAATATACCAGTATCAATAGTTAGTAGTTTACCGAAATTTAGAACAGAAAGGTTGTATTTATTAAAAAAAAACATTGCAAAATTTTGCAATAAATCGATCGATTATTTATAAAACATGTACATTCCAAAGTACGTCTTATTTCACAATCTTTTTACGAGGGGGTGGGGGGGGGGGGGTGATAGGCCATATTTAAAACTATAAAAAAATATGCAGCTGGACTTCTTTCAAATTACAAATATAAAGCTATTTTGTATACTAGATCAAACTTTTTTTAAATGAATTTAAGGAAAACTTTTGCTTACCGTGGTATATATTGTGTACTACCTTAAGAAATAGTAACTTAGATACGGGCAATTATTTCTTCAAACTTTTACATCTGCAGTTGTTGATTACATATCACCAGAAAGAATTGAACTTTAATCTAATTTCAAAACTGTATTTCCTTGCCACATGTATTTGCTTTTTACTTGTATTGAATAATTATATAAAAACTAAGACATAAAAAAAATCGGTTTACTGGTTGTGATTCGAAAGGCATTTTAGAATATCGTTATTAATATACCAAGTAATATATATATAAAGCAGGTGGCATATTACCTGTCAATAGTTTAAAAAATATCTTGAAAAGAATGAAAAGATTGTTCATATTACGTGTTTCAACAGATCGATTCAGACATTGAAGTATGGAGTACTACAGGGCAGTGAATTAACCCTTTGCGATTTATATATATTTTATGTAAATGAAATGATTACCAGTGTGTGAACACAAAGCTCTATATGTATGCAGATGATTGAATAATTTTGTACCTCACAGAATAAGGTTAATATATTTAAATGTTACAACAGGTTTTCTATAGCTTAATTGCACTGATCTCTCCTAACATATTGGTAAGACGGGGTATACCGGTACTTTGTTTGTTTTAAAAAGATAACTAACTGAAAGATACTAGTGTGTAGAACTTTATAACTGCATGGAATAGACAATTTTTTAATGTATCCTTAAATGATATTTGGGTATTTCTGTTACATTTGAAAGATGATAGCTTACAAGTATTAAAGCATACATTGAATTAGAACTAAGTTAAATCCTATGGGAAATTGTTCTGTTAAAAGCTTTGAAGGTAACCCATTAATCTGGCATAATGAATGAAGGTATACAAACAAAAGAGCAAAGTAAATACCAACCTCCGAAAAGATAATGTTGATCCAACAGTAAAAGATATAATTTATATAATTTCTAAACATATTTTTCTCTCAAAAAGGAGAAAGTGACACCTTTTCTTCTCTTCACCTTTTAGATATTGAAAGTTTTCTGAAAAGGGGAGTATCTATCGACAATCCCTGATAACATGTAATTGTGCAGCATGTAAAGATTGATTAATTGGCATACCCGTCAATCATTATTTTACCATCCTGTTCAATACCACTTGATGCCTATTTGTTAAGAACTGTTCACATGCGTTTACACCCTAGAAATTTTAATATAAATAACCTAAATTATGGCAGTTACAAATACCAGTCTACAGGTACAAGTTAAATTGTATTGAGACTCTGTCTTTCTGGAGCATATGAAAATGTGGTCGACTCAGATGCTCCTTTTCAGCTTTGCTTTGTTCATGCAGTTCCAGTTCTCATCAGCCCAAATTTTGTTTGGTAACTGCACCACAACCGTGGAATGCCCACCAAATTCACAATGCATCACAACCGAAGGTCAATGCCAGTGTGATGAAGGATTTTTTCCGCAGGATTCTCCAAATCTTATCGGTGGAATTGTTTTTACCCAATGCATTCGTAAGAGATTCTTTTATAATTTCACAAGTACATATATTTCTAGAAGAAACGCTTACAACTTTAGATTCTTCTTGGATCTTCAAAATCAAAAATCAATCGTGTCCAAAGACATTTTAAAAATTTTTTCGTATATAAAATTATTTGATATAAAAAGCTTATGATAAAGTTTAAATGACTAATAAAAGAAGGTTTTCCCCTTTTTTTTCTTAATTTTTTTCTTACTTCTTATGAAACCCCTCTATTTTTGAATTTTAAGTCTTTGCGTAAAAATTTTAGTCACTATATTCTAACTATAATCATGCAGAAAGTAAAATTCACAATGACTAAAAAATATTTTAGAAAATTTGCATCCAATATTTGGGTTTCTTTTGAAATTTCCTTTTTTTTCAAATCGCATATTCTGGTTATAGATAAATAAAATGATATATTTATTTCAGAATAATGATTGAATATAGGAAGAAATGAGCAGTTACTCCTATTTAACAGTTTTAACGTACTTTCAATTAACTTTTTTAGCGGCTCCTTGTGATCCCCTCGATGATGATTCCTGTGGGGATGACGGAGAATGTATAGTAGGTGACGGGGTTGTCTTCTGTAGCTGTAATCCAGGCTTCACCGGAGAGGAATGTGAATGTATGTATCAATAGTTCACTTAACTTGTATGTTACAGTGGAGCCTCAATTATTCGGACGCTCTGTTTCCCAGGCAATTTGTCCGGATATGTGATGTGCCCGGGTACCTAAATTCCTTGATTTTATAGTTAAATGGCCTCTCATATTGTTGGCAATAATAAAGAATGTTGCTTTATATAAATATCTTTTAATGTTTAAATACTTTAAAAAACGTTAGTCCCACTGGTGCCGACTACGAAAAAGTTACAAAATTTATTCTCTTATATAATACGAATTAAATATATGTTCAGTTCAGTTTATTGAAGTCAAGAGACAAACATGTATAGACAAGAAATTTTAGCATAGTTGACAGGCCAGTTTAAAAATTACCGTCCGGATAAATGAATCAAAATATAAGGTAAAAATTTATTTTGTGGTGAAAAAGACTATCTGGAATTCCGGTTAAACGAGAAGAAATAACGTTTTAAAAATTCCGTTTCCATGAAAAATCGTCTATATGTACTTTAACTATAGGCTTTACGCATTCAAAAACTTCAAAGCTTACTTTACAGGATCAGTTGATTATATGCTTATATTTCAGTTACAACTATGATGACCATGACCATGTCTACCACGACTGCATCGACTACCACCAGAAGGATCAGGTCAATTCTTCCCATAATTGCAGGAGGCGGTGCTGGTCTGCTTGCCCTTGCTGCCTTGGGAGCTGCTTTGGCCTCATCCAGCGGTTAGGTGTTTCCTGGGGTTCTCTGATTAGCATAAAACACAAAAGTAAAACACCATATTTGGATACCATATATGTGATTTAGAAAATAAAAAACAAGAAGCAAGGCATTGTTAACACATGCTCTGTTGTTGTATTTTTTAACGTCTCTTCAAGAATTAGTCACTACCACAACTGGTCGTTAGAGGATGCAAATTTAAATCTTTACTTAAAAATGTGGGCATTTAATTAAGGAGTCTGCGATATTTTGTGCGAGTCACGGAACTTCATTTATATCCGGTATCATCCGAATGACGGGTCTCCATGTCCGGTATTGGGATTCTAACCGGTGATCAACACTTCACTCTGCGACTTTATGACAAACGCTATTACCACTGAGTCAGGCAATAAAGGTTGTTGAAATGATATAAAAAAGAAAATATTTTTTCAATACAATTTAATAGGAACTTTATTCTGGAATGCAGGTTTGCTACTATAGACTACAGACAGAATAATAAACGAAAATTAACCTGTAGAGTCACACTATCAATTTATGTATAAATGCAGAGTGTTAATAATGTAAATGAAACGTTCTTGGATTTTCTGTTACCGGTACAATCCCATGGGTACAAAATGTGCCTTTTCATTAATGGAATTTATTTTTTTCTAAAACGTTTAAGAAGAAAACACTTGAAACTTGAAATAAAAGAGAAAGCGAGATTTTTCTGGAAACAGACGTACACGTAAGTAGTAACTGACAATGAAAGTTTTGATAAACGTGAGGAATATTACTCTTCAAATGACGACATCCCTATAAACAATGCAGAAACATATTCTTATAGTGTCCTGAACTGTGTGACACACAATACAGATGTCATATGACATTAAACTTGACTTTCCCTCATTGCTGAATCTTTAATGAATTTAATACAGTTTATGTGACCACTTTTAATCACATAGTTTCATCGTGAGAAGCTGGGAAACAAGGACTATTCGAGAAACTGCATTAAAAATGAATGGTAAACAATCAGTAAACTAGAGTGAAAATAAAAGCTTAATTAAAGCTGCTGTAAAACTTGTTAAAAATCCCAAAGAAATATTCGGTGAAATATGCGACATTTACAGCAACCAATACCTGTTTTATAGACAAATGAGCAGGTGGATTACAATGACAAAAAATTATATAATGGGCATCAAAAATGGGTACCGTCCTTGCCAACAAAAATTAAAACAACTTATATGCTGTTCGCCAAATTTCAATAAATAATATTTAATGATGTATGATTGACTTTAAGACACATAGCAAATACGACAGACATCATATCGGGAGTAGTTTACACTGTTTTTAAGAAACGTTTGACGGTAAAAAAGCTTGGTACTCAAAGGTCACCCTATATTTTGAAAAATGAGTGAAAACGACAGCGTGTACGAAAGTCTTAAGAATTATTTTAAAATATCAGTAACTGTAGTTATCCACATTTGTTTTATATTCAAACAGATATTGGAACATGAATCTATTGCTTAAAACCCTCAAAACAAAATTTGCCATAAGATGTACTTTATAAAATCGGTGAAGGTCTGACAAGAGCAAAGGTATGCAAGAGCACAAAGACAGATTTATATGCAATTTTCTAAAATATTAGTGGTATTGTTGTTCAAGCCTAGTGTGTTTTATATGTTAGAATTTCTTATATGGATCATTTCCATTATCCATCTAGTGCATTGTATATAGCGGGACATGCTGATTACTATTACTTGATTTTGTGTTATCGTTTAACAGACAATATACATGTATACGCATATATTTATATTTGGTTAATGTTCGGACAAGGCTATGTTCCTTATGGGCAGGATAAAACAAGGGGAATTTAAACAGAGGATTATTTGTGTAAGAACATAAATTTCGTTTCTATGCAGTATGGTCTATAACTTAACAGTAATATTTAATTAGTGTGATGAGTATGTGTATAATACAAGATGACAAAACTTTATATAAAATTTTTGAATGTGAATCGATTACTGTTCCTCTTAAGTATTCCATTGATCCGTATATCAATTTATTTGTTTATTATCATACTCATGTTGAACTGAAGCACATTTTTGGGTGGGGCGAGGGACCCTTCTCTATAAGTTCATTGTCCCTCTTGTGGGATATTTTTTGCACCCCACCTTCTGCTGCATTCTGAAATTGTAAAATTTTTCATTTTATTTGGCATTTGTAATGTAATAAATGCTCTATTCACAAACACTCGCTTTATCATTTTAATGGCTGCAGAACAAAGCTGCAAATGTGCTTCAGGTACATGTACATACGAACTGAGTTGTTCATTATTGCCCGCATTTAAGAGCACATAAGTGTATTTATGTATATAAAGGAATTTATGGGATCTAAATGCTCAAAGTTTTTGTATTTTGATTTACTAATAATGTGTATGAATGTTTGGGTCTTGAGGGGTTTTTCCGGGTTATAGCTTCCAAGCGCCCTCTATTTACGGCTATTAGCCTAACCCATATTCATAATTCCGCTTGGCTCCAAAAAACGTGGTTTTAAAATTTTACCCTCCTCCACCCCCCTTCAAACCTCCATGCACATTTTTATTATTGTTCAGATTACTGATTTTCTTGTGTTGAAGGTGTGGGATATTTTTTGCACCCCACCTTCTGCTGCATTCTGAAATTGTAAAATTTTTCATTTTATTTGGCATTTGTAATGTAATAAATGCTCTATTCACAAACACTCGCTTTATCATTTTAATGGCTGCAGAACAAAGCTGCAAATGTGCTTCAGGTACATGTACATACGAACTGAGTTGTTCATTATTGCCCGCATTTAAGAGCACATAATGTTAATAATGATTTGATTTGAGATTTGACTGTAAATGAAACATTCTTGGATTTTCTGTTACCGGTACAATCCCATGGGTACAAAATGTGCCTTTTCATTAATGGAATTTATTTTTTTCTAAAACGTTTAAGAAGAAAACACTTGAAACTTGAAATAAAAGAGAAAGCGAGATTTTTCTGGAAACAGACGTACACGTAAGTAGTAACTGACAATGAAAGTTTTGATAAACGTGAGGAATATTACTCTTCAAATGACGACATCCCTATAAACAATGCAGAAACATATTCTTATAGTGTCCTGAACTGTGTGACACACAATACAGATGTCATATGACATTAAACTTGACTTTCCCTCATTGCTGAATCTTTAATGAATTTAATACAGTTTATGTGACCACTTTTAATCACATAGTTTCATCGTGAGAAGCTGGGAAACAAGGACTATTCGAGAAACTGCATTAACAATGAATGGTAAACAATCAGTAAACTAGAGTGAAAATAAAAGCTTAATTAAAGCTGCTGTAAAACTTGTTAAAAATCCCAAAGAAATATTCGGTGAAATATGCGACATTTACAGCAACCAATACCTGTTTTATAGACAAATGAGCAGGTGGATTACAATGATAAAAAATTATATAATGGGCATCAAAAATGGGTACCGTCCTAGCCAACAAAAATTAAAACAACTTATATGCTGTTCGCCAAATTTCAATAAATAATATTTAATGATGTATGATTGACTTTAAGACACATAGCAAATATGACAGACATCATATCGGGAGTAGTTTACACTGTTTTTAAGAAACGTTTGACGGTAAAAAAGCTTGGTACTCAAAGGTCACCCTATATTTTGAAAAATGAGTGAAAACGACAGCGTGTACGAAAGTCTTAAGAATTATTTTAAAATATCAGTAACTGTAGTTATCCACATTTGTTTTATATTCAAACAGATATTGGAACATGAATCTATTGCTTAAAACCCTCAAAACAAAATTTGCCATAAGATGTACTTTATAAAATCGGCGAAGGTCTGACAAGAGCAAAGGTATGCAAGAGCACAAAGACAGATATTTATATGCAATTTTCTAAAATATTAGTGGTATTGTTGTTCAAATTCGTATTGGGGGAGACAGTTTAATTTCTGGAGGACTCTAGAAAGCAATTTTTTGCAAAAAAATCGAAAGGTTTATTAGAGGAAGGATCCAGAATCGGGAATCCACTACATTGAATTTCTTCATGACAGCGTCCAAACCCGCATGTCCTGAAGAGTAAAGGGGTTTTTTGGGATAAACAGAAAATTAATGTTTTTTCACATTAACAATATTCGCCAGATCTTTAACCTTTTGACTTGTTTCTATTTCCAAACTTGAAAAAACACCTTTCAGAAGGAAGAAACAAGTCCAGGAAATCATAGGATCTGCCATTTTCCATTATACTAAGGGTCATACCAAAAAATGAGTTCTAAAAACAATCAGAAATGGGATAAAAAATGTTACGGACATATGCTTTAATTAAAAAAGATTAATAAGTAAAATCATGAAGACTAAATCATTGAAAAGCGTCTTTTGCTTCTTTCTGAGCACCGAGGACATTATTTATTCAACAGCCCTCCTACATCTTCCAATTGATTTAATTGTTTGAATGATTTTATATTGTTTTACTGTGTCATTACTAAAATATACTCATATAGAGACGACAACCTTTTCCTGTGAAAGATTCAAATTTAGACATACTCGCCACCAATGATTAAGCAATGAATATTCTTGGACGGAGTGCAGCAAATGAGAATGTAACTCAGGACTTCCGATCACGAAGAGAATACCTTAACACTTGGCTACACTCAGTTGCTCTACGTACTAACCATTTCTCAGAAAAAAGAAACGTGTTCAGCAAACAAGATGTTAAAACAAAATAATTTACAGTTTCGTTTAAATCCATCATTTTCCAAGTTCTTTGATCGATAAAGTAAACTTGTCAGCAAGTTTAGTCTATGATTACGTTAAACGCTGACTGATATTTGCTTAACTTTTTGTCCAATAATGCCATTTCAAGCAATTTATTAGAATACGTGTATAATTCCAAAAGTTCTAGCAAATACTTAAATATCTGTTGGCATACGGACTTCACAGGATTTATCACGTGACCAGCGTATAATTATATGCCGATAAACGTGTAAAATAAATATTTCATTTGAAATAATAATTAAAAATTTTTTTTATCACAAACACTCATTTATTGAAATAAAAATTATTTATCGAAGATTATTTTATCCGCTACTGATTGCCCCGTGTTGTTCTTTGTATTCTGTAATAGAGAAAACAACGTATTAAACTGATATCATTACAAAGTTGAATTTTATGATTATTGTCAAAATCATTGGTTCGGACATAATAAGGTAATGTATTTGACGTCTTAGAAAAATTAAAATTAATCGAAATAGTTTTTATGATATGACTGACAATTAGCCTATATGACATCTCAATCATAACACGTATACTCTGTGAATTACGATAATTTGCATTTTATCAATTTTCATAAAAAAAAAAAAACTTACTCATACACATTCACAAAATGTTGAGTTTTGCAAATTGCAATAGCTTATTTGTCGACATGTCTTTTCTTTTGAGTTTTCCCATCCAAAACTAAACACACATAGTTTCAAAAGATTGTATAATAGAGTGTTTGTTTTAACCATTCACCAACCCAAATAAGAATAATTTCAATACATCACAAACTGAGCATTCTGATAATTCATTGAATCCCTTAATCGGGATTCTTTCAGATATCACTAAGCAGAATAAGATAATAGTGTTTCTCTGTGACATAACCTTATATTTTTAGAAACATCCGCTTATATGGATTTTTTTATATTACACTGTACATACTAAAGTATTCTGAGCACAGGTTGCAGGTCAAGGCACAATACTGAATGACGTATTGTCGGGTTGCAGGAGTAGAATCCAAACAGAACACGGGGCCGTAAACGGAACAGCTAGGAAGAGCATCAACACAGGGAAACGGTGTAGTCACCGGCGTAGTTGAGACTAAAAGTAAATCAAAGTTAACATAATGTTTTTTTGAATGTGAAATTTCCGCAATATTGGTTACAAATATTTCTTGCTCTTGAGATTAAGTGTTTAGCAAAATGTTGCCTCAGTGGAAAAAAATGTATAGTCAGAGACTTTGCCGTGAAAAAGATTATAAATTACCAGTGATCGATCGAAAAAAAAATAAAAACAATACAAATCTGTCAAAAGCGCATAAATCACAAAACCGTGAAAAACTCTAGAGGTTAAATTAATTGCCTAGAAGACGTTAACATTCATTGTTGGCTATTTTCTGTGATTGTCAGAGTTAAAGTATTAATCAGCAAGCGTTATGTATAGCGATATATCCCTACCATATGCATATTGGGTTTACGTCTCCCAGTTGAGTCGATATGCAAGAGCATGCTCTCGAACAAACAATTCTAAAATAAGGCAAGTTATTGACAAAACAAGTTGATAATACAATAATTTCAACAAACTCGTTTAAAATCGTTTCTTCAGTCGATTCTTTGATCCTATCAGAGCAAATACAAACTATCAGTTAGTCGATTGCGGACTTAAGTTTTTATACTAATTGTTTAGTATTTACCCACTAAATTTCCTGTGGATTCTCTGTTTTCTTGTTCATGGAGGACACGGAGGGTGATTCCTCTTTCGATGTTTTAATACGTCTGTGTTTGCTCTGCTCTAAATTTGTATACGCTTTTTCAATGACTTTTTTTGAGCTTGGTAATTGATTGTTATCTCTGAAATAATTCATCTTTATGATATTTTCAAGCAAAAACGTTAAAATATTATAAATTTCATTTATAATACTTTTTTTCAAATAACTGAAGTTTTAAATTGTTTATAAAGGGATGGACGAACACTTATTTATGGAAGATAACAAGAATAGATCCCACTTTTTAAGGACAAATAATTATACAATGAATTGTATAAAAAACAATCTAGTTATATTTCTTCCCGAATACTACATGTGTGTGTGTGGTTATTCTAAATTTCATATCTTAGATAGTTAGAACTTTAGTTACAGGATTTTTGAAGACCATCCAAATATGAGTTAAACATTTTGAACAAAGACACTCAGAGTACTAGATAATGATTCTGTCAAATACAGTAGTCTTTGACAATATCTGTGCTGAAGTATTTGCAGAAATATACAAAGTATTATTACGTTTGTGTGAATTATAGAAAAAATGTTATTTACATTGAACTTCTGGTATATTCTGAAATAACACAAAATCATCAACCAACCTTGTGAATTTTTCCAAGCTGAAAAGAAAACAAAAAAGGTAGTAAATTCCACTTTTGAAGCAGTTTCAGTTTTCAGTTTTATTGAAGTACCCCGTGGTTATATTTTTTAAAATTAGATTTAAGTCTTCCACACCCGATCATGATTCCTACTTTTATCGACAAAGATCACGACTGACGTCATGCATTTCACTTTTCTTTTCGACAATGCTATTCTTAACAAGAGGCCCATGGGCCACATCGCTCACCTGAGCACTAGGGGTAGGAAAAAGTAGAAAATGGCTTTTTATTGTAAAGTTTAAATCCAAAAGTAGTCCCATGACCAATCATGGATTTGCTATTTTTTAGAAAATGATTTTTAAAGAATTTTCCTATATATATCTTTAAAAACTTTGGTCGGCCATTTTGGCCCCGCCCTACCCCTGGGGGTCATGATTTGAACAAATTTGAATCTACACTACGTGAGCATGCTTCCATATAAATATGATGAATTATGGCTTTGTCATTCTTGGGAAGAAGAATTTTAAAGAATTTTCCTATATATTTCTATGTAAAACTTTGGTCGGCCAGTTTGGCCCCGCCCTACTCCGGGGGGTCATGATCTGAACAGTGAACAAACTTTAAACTACACTACCTGAGCATGCTTCCATATATATATGATGAATTATGGCTTTGTCATTCTTGAGAAGAAGATTTTTAAAGAATTTTCCTATATATTTCTATGTAAAACTTTGGTCGGCCATTTTAGCCCCGCCCTACCCCCGGGGGTCATGATTTGAACAAACTTGAATCTACACTACCTGAACATGCTTCCATATAAATATGATGAATTATGGCTTTGTCATTCTTGAGAAGAAGATTTTTAAAGAATTTTCCTATATATTTCTATGTAAAACTTTGGTTGGCTATTTTGGCCCCGCCCTACCCCTGGGGGTCAAGATTTGAACAAACTTGAATCTACAATACCTGAGCATGCTTCCATATAAATATGATGAATTATGGCTTTGTCATTCTTGGGAAGAAGATTTTTAAAGAATTTTCCTATATATTTCCATGTAAAACTTTGGTCGGCCATTTTGGCCCCGCCCTACCCCGGGGGGTCATGATTTGAACAAACTTGAATCTACACTACCTGAGCATGCTCCCATATAAATATGATGAATTATGGCTTTGTCATTCTTGAGAAGAAGATTTTTAAAGAACTTTCCTATATATTTCTATGTAAAAATTTGGTCGGCCATTTTGGCCCCGCCCTACCCCCGGGGGTCATGATTTGGACAAATTTGAATCTACACTACCTGAGGATGTTTACCCATAAGTTTCATCTTTCCTGGCACAGTGGTTCTTGAGAAGAAGATTTTTAAAATATGCCACTAAATTTTCATTAATTCCCAATTATCTCCCCTTGAATGAGGGCATGGCCCTTCATTTGAACAAACTTGAATCCCCTTTACCCAAAGATACTTTGTGGCAAGTTTGGTTGAAATTGGCCCAGCGGTTCTTGAGAAGAAGTCGAAAATGTGAAAATTTTACAGACAGACAGACAGACGGACGGACAGACGGACGGACGGACGGACGCCGGACAAAATGTGATCAGAAAAGCTCACTTGAGCCTTCGGCTCAGGTGAGCTAAAAACTGAAAATATTATCGTAGGTCGATCATTTATTTTTGGTTTCCTTCAAATGCTATAACATCATAATATTTTATTGCAATTTAAATATTTATTTTGCATTTGCAACACTCTGCAAAAACTGAAAGTGTTGCTGGTATACGGTACGCAATACGTACGAGTTGTTTTGGGACAAACTTTGTACTTCTTTTAAAGAAAAACTGAAATTCGTCAGGTCCAGAATTTTTAACTTTCTTACCAAATGTCGATTGAATCCATAATAAATTCCATTTATCATCTAATGATTTGATTTCATTCAGGGTGACTTTGAATTGACTTTGGGAAAAGTTCAAGCGTAAGAAGAAATCCGGGAAATATCAATTAACTTTTAGAAGTTTCTAAATTTAACCATGATGCAATTACACACCTACCTTCATACTCTTTACACAGGCGACAGGTACTTGGACAATTTTCAATGGCATAGGTAAGAGAGGAGTTATCCTTTGCGTTACATAGAATGCTATAGGAGACAATGGCACAGTTGCTGCTTACATCTGCACATGTTGGATCTATACAAGGATTTATAGAAAAAAAAATCTATCTCAGAAAGGAGTTTCAGAAACAAAGATTCACACTGAAGTTAAAGCTTCTGAGAGTTTTGTTACTGATTTATATATTCCAATAAAATCAAGGTACTTCCTCTTTTCAAAAGTCTTACTCTTTTAATGCACGATCTGGCAATGTTTATACAATAAGTCTTTACATACTAGTATTTTAATTTATCCAAATATTTCAAGAATTTATACATTTGAATAAATATTTAAAGAATTTATGTTAGGTTATGAAGTATTATATAGAAATGCAGCGCAAAAATCCACTTCTGGACCTTCTGTTTGAGGATGGTTTCTTGATATTGGGGTTACGCTAAACAGGAGAACACAGTTCGGATTTGATCGTTTGTTGTGCTTTACGTTGGCGATTTTCACTTATATTCAATATCTAGGACCCTCAGGTTGAGAGCAGCAAATTAAAACCTTTATTAGGCATTAAGGTCATCGAGTAGCGATAGCACGTTAGGTCGTTTATGTGGCAGAACCGACTAGGACATGGGACACGGGACAATTTTAGAGGTCTCACTCTAATGACATTCAAGATTAACCTTTTACTCCAAGATTCTATCCAAAATACTGGAATAAGTTTGTACTTTTATGTCGTTAGTAGTATGTTCTAAGTTTTCTTTAAGTTTACTGCCACGGTAGTTCAGTCGGTAGAATGCTCGCTCCGAGACTGTAAGATCGTTAGTTCGAATCTCGGCCGTGACTGACCTATGTCGATGTAAAATGGATAGCAACTGTTCCTTCGCCATGCACTAGGCAATTTAAGTGAAAATTCCGTGTCCTTCGGATGAGATCTTAAAAACCGAGCCCCCGTATCGCAGTAGGCGCTAACACGATAAAGATCTTTCAGTTCTCAATGGCCCTGAGTGCCGGATAAAGTTTAATTTTTGAAGCCCTTTCCCGTTATATGGTGACGGCTCCATATGAGTGAAGAATTCTCGAATGGGACGTTAAACAACTACAATCTATCAATCTTTGCATTTACTGTGTAAAATAAATGACTGGGTTTTTTTTTAGATAAGAGTTTTGCAGATGGTCAACAGGAATGCTTATACTGTACTTATTTTAAGCTGTTTAATTTGATTTTTTTAAATTAAATTTTTTATTATAAATTTGAATTGAATTTTTAATTTTTTTTTAGATTTAATTGTTTAATTTACCTGGTGCAGGCGTCGTCTGAGTGGGAACTGGCAGTGTTGGCAGGGTTACTGCAATCAATAAAAATAATTAGAATAAAACACACACACACAAAAAAAAACGCCAAATTCTATAAAAAAAAAAATTACTTGTAATTGTTTTTAAAATAATATTAGCTGCAGTTATTCTCAATAAAGGATAGATAATGATTTTTTTTTGGTCAAGTATCATGAAAATAAATTCTAAATCTGTGTTAAAGTAAATAATTTCTTTTCTTGGTTAAATGTGTTAAAAATATATATTATTTAAAAGATGTTTAAAAGAATTTCATATCTGGTTTGTTAAAGAATATAATTTAATAGTTTTTTTTTCTCACCAGTTGTAGTTTGAGTAGCAGGGGTTGTAATATTCTGAGGTGCGTTTGTTGCTACAATATTAATAGATAAATAAATTAATGAATTAATAAATAAACCAGAAGTCTCTGTCGAGACTGAAGCTCTACTGGTTTGAACTTATAGCAAAGGAAGAGAAAGTACTTAAGCAGCTGGGATTTGAAACTTTATAAACAGCATTAAATAGAATAATGATCGTTGATAAAGTCTCTTTATGTTCTTAGTGTAGTCTACTTGTGTGCCAAGTTATACTGAAATCAGACCAAAACTGTAGGAGGAGTAGCATTTTGAAACAATTTTACAGACATTTCTATTTTTAGTAACCACGGCAACACCGTTCATCAAAATTAAAATTCGATACACAGAATTATGTATCTTAGTGTAGTCTACTTGTGTGCCAAGTTATATTGAAATCAGACCAAAACTATAGGAGGAGTAGCATTTTGAAACAATTTTACAGATATTTCTATTTTTAGTAACCACGACAACATCATTCATCATATCAAAAACCAATATACAGAATTATGTATCTTGGTGTATTCTACTTGTTTGCCAAGTTATACTGAAATCAGACCAAAACTGTAGGAGGAGTAGCATTTTGAAACAATTTCACAGAAATTTCTATTTTTAGTAACCACTGCAACACCGTTCATCGAAATCAAAAACCAATGCACAAAGTTATGTATCTTAGTGTAGTCTACTTGTGTGCCAAGTTATGCTGAAATCAGACCAAAACTGTAGGAGGAGTAGCATTTTGAAACAATTTTACAGAAATTTCTATTTTTAGTAACCACGGCAACACCGTTCATCGAAATCAAAAACCGATACACAGAATTATGTATCTTAGTGTAGTCTACTTGTGTGCCAAGTTATACTGAAATCAGACCAAAACTGTAGGAGGAGTAGCATTTTGAAACAATTTTACAGAAATTTCTATTTTTAGTAACCACGCCAACATCGTTCATCGAAATCAAAAACCAATATACAGAATTATGAATCTTAGTGTAGTCTACTTGTGTGCCAAGTTATACTGAAATCAGACCAAAACTGTAGGAGGAGAAGCATTTTGAAAGAATTTCACAGAAATTTCTATTTATAGTAACCTGGGCAACACCGTTCATCGAAATCAAAAACCGATATACGGAATTATGTATCTTAGTGTAGTCTACTTGTGTGCCAAGTTATACTGAAATCAGACCAAAATTGTAGGAGTAGCATTTTGAAAGAATTTCACAGTAATTTCTATTTTTAGTAACCACGGCAACACCATTCATCGAAATCAAAAACCGATACACAGAATTATGTATCTTAGTGTAGTCTACTTGTGTGCCAAGTTATATTGAAATCAGACCAAAACTGTAGGAGGAGTAGCATTTTGAAAGAATTTCACAGAAATTTCTATTTTTAGTAACCACGGCAACACCGTTCATCGAAATCAAAAACCGATACACAGAATTATGTATCTTAGTGTAGTCTACTTGTGTGCCAAGTTATACTGAAATCAGACCAAAACTGTAGGAGGAGTAGCATTTTGAAACAATTTTACAGAAATTTCTATTTTTAGTAACCACGGCAACACCGTTCATCGAAATCAAAAACCGATACACAGAATTATGTATCTTAGTGTAGTCTACTTGTGTGCCAAGTTATACTGAAATCAGACCAAAATTGTAGGAGGAGTAGCATTTTGAAAGAATTTCACAGAAATTTCCATTTTTAGTAACCACGGCAACACCGTTCATCGAAATCAAAAACCGATACACAGAATTATGTATCTTAGTGTAGTCTACTTATGTGCCAAGTTATACTGAAATCAGACCAAAATTGTAGGAGGAGTAGCATTTTGAAAGAATTTCACAGAAATTTCTATTTTTAGTAACCACGGCAACACCATTCATCGAAATCAAAAACCGATACACAGAATTGTGTATCTTAGTGTAGTCTACTTGTGTGCCAAGTTATATTGAAATCAGACCAAAACTGTAGGAGGAGTAGCATTTTGAAACAATTTTACAGAAATTTCTATTTTTAGTAACCACGGCAACACCGTTCATCGAAATCAAAAACCGATACACAGAATTATGTATCTTAGTGTAGTCTACTTGTGTGCCAAGTTATACTGAAATCAGACCAAAACTGTACGAGGAGTAGCATTTTGAAAGAATTTCACAGAAATTTCTATTTTTAGTAACCACGGCAACACCGTTCATCGAAATCAAAAACCGATACACAGAATTATGTATCTTAGTGTAGTCTACTTGTGTGCCAAGTTATATTGAAATTAGACCAAAACTGTAGGAGGAGTAGCATTTTGAAAAATTGTTTACAGACAGACGGACAGACAGACGGACAGACGGACGGACGCCGGACGCATTACTATCGCATAAGCTCTTCTGGTCTCTGACCAGTAGAGCTAATAAAATGAATAAATAAAATGGTTGTTTTCATGTTTTTTGTTTACTTCTGTGTCTTCTATTTTTAATTTATATAGAAATAAATAAAAATATTTAATCTATGCAAAAAAGATAAATCGAAATGTGAAAAATACTATCCATGAAATATATCGTCGTCGATTCAATGTGTACATACCGGATAATAGACTATGGTAATAAAGTATGAAAAAGTCAGACAAAATTTGACTCAATGATAAATTGTATTCGCTGGAAAAGGTCATTGAATCTACCACAGAACTTACCAAATGATGACTGTAAACGAGACTGCTGATATTCTTGTTTCATCAACTTATTTGTCAAGAACTAACCTCGGTTTAGATACATGTATATTTGTAAATATGTAGAGTAGGATCGTGCTTATCGAATCATTGAGAGATATAAACCCCGGTATGCAGGTGATGAAGACATATTGCGGATAAGTAAGGGAAATTGTCAATTGAAAAGTTATCATGGAGCTTTGTTGTTCGATTACCATTAACTTCCTTTTAAAGTAAAATATCCAAATATGAAACAGGTGCGTCAGATGTGATAGATAGTATGTTTTATCTCAAGCTCATGACTTACATGTGTCTGGACTCATTCCTGTGGTGCTATGTGATGTCGTGGCTTCTGTCGTTGTGGTAGGAGGAGGTCCTGTAAAAAGAAATTCTATAAATAACTTCGGGGTTTTTTCAAACAATTACTGACGGTAGAACTTCAATATCTTGAGCGTGGCGCAGTGGTTAGAGCGTCTGCTCTAGAGTCGCGAAGTAAGGAGTCAATCCTTACGTCGCGGGTTCGAATCCCACTGTGGGACGTGGAGACCGGTCCTTCAGATGAGACCGTAAAAACCGAGGTCCCGTGTCGCAGTAGGTGCTGGCACGAAAAAGATCCCTCCCTGCTCAATGGCCCTGAGTGCCGAGCATAGGAAAAATTTGAAGCCTTTCGCCGTTATATGGTGGCGTCTCCATATGAGTGAAAAATTCTCGAGAGGGACGTTAAACAACAATCAATCAATCAATATCTTGAAAATCTTTGAATACCATGGATATGTGAATTTCATCAGAAAGTCTTAGCCACTTTTTTCTTTTATTTTACCTTCAAAACAATACACCTCTGAATCAATTCAGTTTTGTAGTGTCGCATTAATTCGAGATTAAGATAATGAATTTTGAACGTACTTGAATAAAATGTCAATGAATATTACGCCGCTTTGATTTTGTAATTCGTTTATCTCTCTTCCGTTTTTATTTATACTATTATCGATAGACTGATGATTATATTCTAATATAAGTATTTGAAAAGATTCTTGTACTGAGGCTGCAGTTTATTAATAGGAATGACGTAATCATCTTACCATTACAGTAGTCTTTATCGCAGCAATGTCCGGCCAGTCCGTCATCCTTTCTTTTCCGTCCAGCCACACCCGCGATTCCCGCTATTCCAGTGCCTCCAAAGTAAGCTTGGCATATCTGATTTTAAAATAAATACACTTAAACACTTTGTTGAATAGGATAGAACTAGAAAATGTATAAATCTGATGATATGATTATATAAATTGCTTACAGTGAAGTTTTTCCAAAGGTAAGAATAGACAAACCATGTCTCTAAGATCATGAAACCGACTTTAACAAAAGTCCAAATTACAAACATATCTAAATTATCTTTCTTTAAAAGAAGATGGGGGAACAAGGCGGGCAGAAGGCCTATAGTGTACGATATTAAGAAATCATATTCAGTATTTGAATTGAGTATTTCAATCAACTTCTAATTATTGAAATTTTTTAAATTATGAGAAAAAAAAAACTTTTCTGAGAGAAAAAAAAATCTTTTAAAAGATTTTCTTTCATAAAGTAAATAAAATAAATGGTATTCGTGGGATTCGAACCCTAGCAATAAAAACCCGACGTATCAATAGCATACTGCTGTGAGACTAACGCGTTAACCACTATGCTACATCACTCATGGTGATTTTTGCCATTTAAATCATGTTTGTAATATGACCCGCGACTTAATAGACTTGAAGTATTTCTCGGAAAGATGCGAATGTTGTGTCATAAAAGTGTACTTTTAAGGTATAGTGGGTCATCGCTCCATGTTTTTGTAAACCAAAAAACGTGTATTTTATTGCAAACTTTTAGGATCATCTTTCAAAAAAATGGAGCGAAGACCCACTCATATTGAAAAATTTTGTTAAAGTACGAGCAAATGATCGTTTTTGTTCTTTTTAGTGTTTGTAAGCTTTTTCATAGGCAAATATTTTCTGATTTTGTGAGATTTTTGTAAATTGTAGAGATTTTACATAAAGAATACTTTCATATTAGATGAAATATCAAATAAAATTTGAATTTAATTGAGATTAAAATTTTCACTTCTTATCTGTCGCACTGTAGGCACTTCGCGCGCCTTATCCCCCCCATCTTCTTACAGACAATGGATTTTTGTTGAGGTCATGCTGAAAAGGGTTTTTTTTAAACTATTTTTCTTCTAAATTGACAAAATGATGTAATCTACTTAGAAAACTTTCATGTATCTTTTTTTTTTTTTTAATTTTGTGCCTTAGTTACTAGTATCTGATTTCATTAAAAACAAAGTAAGATGAAAAAGAATATGAGTGAATGAGCATTTGTTTGAGATATGCATTGAATATATGATGGGAAACCAGACTTCATTTTATCAAAGCCCAGTCTGCTCGAAATCTGCTACAAGTTGTAGCAAAATTCAAACAATTTTCACAAAATGAAACTCTTGAAGATAAATAAAAACCAAATTTTACAAATGCATGTACAGACAAAGAATATTAAATTTGTTTTCACTGTCAGTTGAAAAACTATTCAAGTAATCTTAGTTTAAAAAAAAAATTAGCTCACTTAAATGTTTAAATTGTGGCTTTTTTTTTTTTTAGAGATTCTGTAAATGTTTTTCTTTCAATGCTAACGTTATGATCTTGCTAGGAACTCTTTAAATTACTTATAAAAGATTTCAGAATTAGAAAATTAACAAAGAATTGTGCAGCATGAACATTGAAAGAACACTATCACATATGGCTCTGGGTCTGTTTCCCCTATTTTCTTTTCTTTCATCTGTATTATTTTTACTTTTCCCCCTCTTTTTTCCATTTTTATTTTTGGTACTCTAAGTTATAAGTTGTAAGTTATGATACATAATACTTCAAGATTAATTTAAAAAAATAAATAATAGGGAGTTCGTCGTCAAAAAATTATGCATATTCCGATGGATAAAAATCATATCCTAAAAATGCCTGACACCTCAACATAATCAGCAGAATACATCCTTTAGCTTAATAAGTTTTAGGATATCGCGGAGTTGTCGTAAAGTACAACTTTTTTAGGAGTTTAAGGTGGAAACTTTAATATATTTTACTTATTGTTTGTAATACTTACATTTTCATCTGCACACCCCAGTTTGTAAGTCGGGTTGAAATTGTCATCTAGTGTGTGCAAAACAATACATTGCTGCAAAAGTAGTAAGCAAATGCAGTACAACTTAGACTGATATTCAACCTTCTGAATTCTCACATTAGATTATTTTTTACCTACCTGTTTCTTTGCGTCTTGGCATCATTCCAAATATTTCAATAGAATGCAAATTATTTGACGGAACATATATACATATATGTTCAAAATCATGATCTAAGAACGATCAATTTTTAAACCCAAGGAAGCTACTGACAAAAAAAAGTAGATTTTACAAACATTTTAACAACCCCATTCAAAATCAGCTTTTCGAAAATTAAACGGTCGTTATGTGACGTTGTTTGCAAATATAACCTATTATTGTGTGGTATATCTCCTGAGAGGTTTCAATTAATTGGAAATTGTTTTTTTGACTACGGAGTACTTCGTATATCTATTTAGACGGCACATAGCGAGTGTGACTAGTCTACTTATTCCTCCAAGTCCTCTAATCCCGCCTCTCGTGTTTCGAAGGGTCACGGTTCTGGGTCTTTTCCCCTATTTTCTTTTCTTTCATCTGTATTATTTTTACTTTTTCCCCTCTTGTGAGATTTATACGTATTCTTCAGCTCTTAATTTTGTTATAAACATTAAATAATCTCCTAAATGAATACATGCATGAATACATCTGAGTGAAATACAGTGCGTGGTGTTTGAAGAAGCATTCTCTCACGTTCATTTGTGGAAATGCTAAAATAATCGTATTCTTATGTATTTTGAGTAGCTGCTCATATACATATTTCTTTTAAAGTCGTGGCATAAATCTTGCATATATTTTGTTCTCTTGTCCATCTATTGATTCTTACCTGGTTCTTGTGGCATGTTTGTGATTTGACGCAGCTTGTTGGGTCATTAACATTAACACACTTGTAACAAAGCCCTGAAAAAAATGCACAATTAAGAATTGTCTCGATACGAAATTCTTAAAGAAAAAGATATAAACAGAAAAATCTCCCGAGAAGGTCCAGAGTTGCAATGCAACATAATGTTTAATTTAATTTTTTGTTTAAAAGAGTGTTTCCTATCAGGATATACAGAAATTGTTTAAAGGGCTGCATGTATAAATTTTGCTTTTCGTAAATAATAACTCAAGATATTGATCATACTAATAACAATTATCTCTTTTCGATGTTGTACAATACCACTTGTAGAGAAAATTAATAAAGATGTGGATTTACGATAAGGTAACATGATTTCAACGTATAATTAGATAGAACAATTAAAAGAAAAAATCGAACAAATTTAAAAGAAATGTGTTTATAATAATCAAAAACATGCATTTGATATAAATCTAAGGACTATATTTTACTCATTAAAATAGGAAACTCACGACAAGTTCCACATGTTGTTGGACAAATCTTCTGCGCGAAGCATGGACGAGAACAGAGATTTCGGTCTACTTTGGAGAGATTCTGGCATAATTCTGTACTTAAGTCTGATAATTCACACAAGTTGTCGTATTGCACAGCTACAAGAAAAAAAAATGTTCCTAGGTAGCTTCAAAAACAAAACAAAAAAATCTTATGTAGAGTATGAAATAGAATTATAAAATAAAGGAACTATGTAAATAATTTTTCATAATGGTTCATCAATGGTTCTTGATGTTTTGTATTAAAATCTACAAATGTACTAATGCCATATTCATAAATGATACAGATTTCATCACTATGGGTACTAATGTGTGACAATATTTCTTTTAGTGATGTGTCAATAACTGTATACTAGTGAGTTTTCCACTAAACATGATGTTACCTTTGACACACTGACGCAGAATTATGTTCTTCGCTTTATTTTGAGAAACAAATTATTTTGGTTGATGCGAAATAAGATTATTATCCCAGCAAGCATTAGCTTTTAAAGATTTTTATCTTATTAATAAAACAATAAACTAGAGGTACTGTGAGCACTGAGCTCACCAAATCATACCCCTGCCTCCCATATGATTATAATGGCAAAATCCATGTTTTGCTCTGGGAGACCCGAAATAAGTGCTAGATCAAAAAATAAAATAACAGGTGCACCATAGCATAATATTAGGAAGAATCTGAAATTATCATCAAATTTTATTCAGTGGTGTAGGAGGAGTTGCGGATAAGAGATGAGTACCCTTAAATATTATAGAAAGAATGGCAGTATCTATGTTTAGCCATGGGAATCCCGAAATATGTTTCCGATCAAAAAGGAAAAAAACGTCCTTGCACAATTGCAATATGTAATAAAGATTCTGTGACAGTTTCATTGAATTTCAATCAGTTACATAAGAGGAGTTGTGAATAAGAGGTGGGTACCCAAAAGCTTAACAGATTGCAATTTTATATTTTAAAATATTATATGAGCAATACATACTGTTACTTGTATGTTGTCATTAGAAGGATCTATATCAGAAGAGGAGAGTCCGTACATAAATCTTGTGGGAAACATTGATGATGCAAAAAAATTAAAGATAATGAAACTGAGGGCGTACGTAACGCTGTTGGTCTAGTTAAAGCTGATGGCGCTGCAGTTGCAGTATTTTGAGGATCGTGTTCGTTACATAAATCGTGATTACAACAACTTCCGTTTAAAGCATAGTCTCGTTTTGGTCCGAGTACTAGTTTAGATCTTCTCGTCGCGCCTGAGTTGATTTCTCCAAAGATATCAAGGCATGTCTGCAATATATAGGATAAATTACATTTAGTTTAATAAATAAATAAATAAATAAAACCCGAAGGCATAAGAACTTACAGCATTTTCTACAAAGTTTTCTATCTTTATTTACAATTCCACAATAACTCTTACAAATATCATTGAAAAATAGGGAACCAAAGATGACAGTTTATTGGAACTAAGAAAATGATAAGTCCTTTAAAAAAGTTCAAGCCACCGATGGAACTTCGTCTACATATTTATGAAAGATTTTATGGCGTTACCTGTTTTTCCATACAGCCAGAGACATAAACAGGGAGGAAGTCCACCGACAGCTCTTGGGAGGCAACACACATCTGTAAAATTATACTTACTGCTTTAAAATCTTAATATCGAATACGAGCCGAGGTATCATTGCAATTAGAAAGAGGGCATGTTATTTGTGTAGATTTCAAATTTCGCAGAACCCTAACACTTTAATTTTACATTCTTACATTTTTTTTTTCTGAATTTTATGGTTAGTTTTCCTGATCAATAAATTATGTCTGAAAGAGCAAATAAGTTTCCAAATGGAAGAAATTTTCTTTCATTTTCTTGATTTAATTGACTTGCTCTCATTTGTTTCGTCCTACCTGGGTTTCATTACATTGAATTTTCTTTTTACACAACTCAGGATAGAATTCTCTGTTGCACTGATAACAAACTAAAGCTGAAAATGAAAACAAGCATCGCTTATCGATCTCTTGATTTAATGAGTTAATAGATAAAATCTCATCCAATATATTTTATAAAACGAGCAAAGGAAAAAACAAGAGAAAGAAAAAAGAACTCGTATTTCTATATATTATCATACTAACAATAATACGTTAGAACTAATAATAATCCAAATCTGATAAGCTACTTCATCTTAATTTTAGAACGGTGAAGTATGAAATACTGACTTGCTTTAACTGTATGATATTATTTATACTTACGGCACATATTGCATGTCTTTTTGCAAACTTCTGCGAAACAACTGTCCTGGCACATATCCGGTTTCGTATTCATTAGAAATTTACAAGCATTTGTATCGATGTCTTGGCAGAATTGTTGGGCAGCATTGGTGTAGGAAAAGTAAAGCAGAGCTGAAAGATGTTTAAGGAGGCAGGGGGTCAACAATTTAACCACAAATTAACCACCAGATTTAACTTATTTTTTTAGATATGGTATCTTAGGCTGTCAACATTCATTTGGCAAAGAAAAATTCATACATTTTAGTTTTAAATTTTGATCATTTTTGTATATCTTTATATGGAGCTCTTCTTTTAAAGGAGATCAAAATAGTCTGAAAATGGCTGCCACCCCCCAGCCTCGTTAAGAGATGAATTATTATTATTATTATGTTTATTCAGGCAAAGAGTCAAATTCATTACAAATCATAATACAAATTACATTCAAAAATTAATTAGGGGTCGCTTAAAAGTTCTATCACATACATGTAGCTATCACATTAAAACAATATCACTCCAGGTATTATCACAGTTATCATTATCACAGGATTATACAGATCTCAGAACCAGATCTTATCACATACAACACAAATAAACATCTTTTTAATCAATCTTTGCCTAGGATAACCCATGAAAGCAATATATAAAACATGCTTATTTCGGGGTTTAAATGGTACAAGTTGATTATAATTTAATTGACTAAGACAGCATAGACAAAAAATAAAATTGAGGATTACATAATTTTCCTAGCCTGAATAAAATAATTTGACATATATTATACATATTCACAGTTTCAGGTTAATACAAATTATTTTAAAAAGGTTTCATTCCCTTATAAAAATATTATATATAAATACTTTCTTCCATTTGAAGCTTCTTGTGTGAGATGCAACTTGACAGCAGATTTAAAACTAGCTCTATTGGCTATAGTTTTTACTTCCAATGGAAGAGAATTCCAGTTTAAAATGGCTTGATAATAAAAATTTGAATCATTGTATGCTCCAACCCTGGGTACATGATAATTAAAATTGGACGCTCCCCTAGTAGCATTATTATTTCTATTAAAATTCTCATTTAGATAATTTGGTGCTAGGCTATGATTGATGTTAAAGATATGATTTAGTCTTAACTGTTTTACACGATCAGATACACGTAGTGTATTTATTGAATCTAAAAAGCAATTGATTTTAGGGCTCAGATTTAAAATAAATCTTACTGTTTTGTTTTGAAGAACTTGTAACTTATTTTTCAAAGATTTGGTCAAACTTTGTACCATGCTGATGAACAGTAATCAAAATAGCACTGAATTAATGCAGATGCTAATGTTAATCTTCTTTTATTTAACCATTTCCCATTTCTGTATAAGAACTTCAGTCTAGAATTGACCTTGGCCAAAATCTACTATTAGGTTACATTTTAGAAATTTATCAATTGTAATACCTAGATACTTAACAGACTCACTGGATTTGATAATATGATCGTGATATTTAACCTCAAATTGACCTTCATTTTTTAATTTGCGACTACGGCCAAAAAGGATAGACTCTGTTTTTCCTAGATGGAGAGATAACTTATCATCTATTAGCCACTCGGAACACTTCTCTAGCACCTTCCCAAGTTTGTTAGAGATAACATTAATGTGAGTATAAAAAGTGCTATCATCAGCATAAGAAATTTGCAATCTTATCTATACTGATGGACATATCATTAACGTAGCATAAAAACAAAAGATTTTAAAATGCTCCCTTGGGGAACCCCACAGGTAATTTTCTTTGAAATTTGCAACCCACCAAGACCTGCCGGTTAGATATGACTTAAACCATTGATTTTCAATTCCCATAATGTCTAATTTATTACATAATATTTCATGGTCCATGTATCAAACGCTTTTTGTAGGTCTAACATTATCATTCCTGTAAATAATCCCTTAGAGTTAAATATGGTCCAACAAATGTATATATTAATATTTACTCCGAAACCCAGATTGAAACTCATACAACATGTTATTGTTATGTAAAAATTCCTTAAGTTGACAATAGACACTTTTCTCTAAAATCTTTGATACTACGCTTTAAATACTCACTGGCCTGTAATTCCCTACTTGGAGTGGGCTACCCTTTTTAAATAAAGGCTTGACCCTAGCCTGTTTCATACTGTCTGGTACACATCCAGAACTTATTGATTGATTAATATTGAAGTTATAGGTGATTCAAGAACCCTTGCTCCTATTTTTAAAAATTTTGCTGATACCTCATCAAGACCAGTACTTTTTGTTGTACTAAGACCACATAGTTCTTCATACACAAAAGTCTCCAACACAGGACTTAAAGTAAGAGAATTGTTGTACAAATTTCTATTTGAATAAAAACCTCTAAAACAGTTTGACAAAACATTGTATGTGCCCTTTGTAGTGGGTAGAGCTTCCACCAATTTTGATGCAACTGTAGTAAAAAAGTTATTAAAATGATTAGCAGTATCCATGTCATCATGACTAATATCATCATTAATATTTAAAATTCAGTATTAGTGGTTAGATACGTTTAATAAAAAATGATTCAACCTGCATGGGGCGAATTTTTTTTAATATATCAGATGCCCTAGCCTTTTCAAATTATTTATCGTCGCAAACTTCATGTATACCTATAATACGAAATGTGTTTTCACTGTAATTGTTATCGATGTGATACAACACGATCTGATTTGCACGAAATTACATGATTTGGAAGTTTGTTTACGGTCCGTGTAACACTTAACAATTCAAATTTCTAAAATGATTTTGAGTTTTAGAATGTTAATGTAACAGTTCAAATTTCTAAATTTCAAAAACTCAAACTGATTTGGTATATTGAAATTTAATATTTTAGTTTAAAAATCTAAAATTTCAAATTTCAAAACAGTTTTAAAATTTTAATATTTTAGATTTTTACCCTAAAATATCAAAATTCAAATTTCCAAAAACGATTTTTGTAATTTAAATGTTTGAGTTTTTAGTCTACCGTTTGTTCAGAAAGTTTACTCTTAGCAATCTAAAGTTTGGTAATATTTTTTTCGTCTTTTGGTTATTTGAAATTATCTTCAAACTTCTAAAATCCAACTTTGAAACGTTTTAGATTTTTAGAAATTTGGAATTTTGATTCAAATGTTCTAATTTCAAATAACCTATAAACTTTGAGTTTTAGAATTTTACTTTAACTATCCAAAATATCAAATTTCCAAACTCGATTTGAATTTTGAATATCACTTCAATATTCTAACTATCTTAAAGCTCTTTTGCTTAACCAAAAGTGTTTTTGTGAAAGTTTTAAAATTCAAAGCAGGTTTGAAATTTGATATTTTGGATATTTGAAGTAAATATCTAAAAACTCCAAGTGTTTTTGTTATTTGAAATTTGAATGTTTGAATCAAAATTCAAAAAATCTAAAACGTTTCAAAGTTGAAATTGAGAAGTTTGAAGTTAATTTTAAATAATCAAAAGTCGTAAAACTGTAATGAACTTTAGATTGTTAAGCGTAAATTTTGTAAATAAACGGTAGATTAAAAATTCAAAAGTTTAAAATACAAAATTTGTTTTTGGAAATTTGAATTTTGAATGTTTAACGTAAAAATCTAAAAACTTAAAATTCTAAAACCTGTTTGGAAATTTGAAAATTTAGAGTTTTGAACTAAAATATTAATTTCAATATACAAAATCAATTTGAGTTTTTGAAATTTAGAAATTTGAACTTATATATTAACATTCTAAAACTCTAAATCATTTTAAAAATTTGAATTGTTAAGTGTTACACGAACCGTCCTCTTCTAGTTTACTTTGGGTCCCTTCTTTAAAAATAGTAATTTTGCCTCATAATATATTAGTTAATAGGTAGGTGTTAAGCATAAGTCTATATCAAAGAAATAGTTCACGCAAACGAGGTGAGCTTATCTTGAACGGACCTAGTTTTGCGTGAGAACATATAGGTAAAGTCATGTATGTACTGTAACACAAATAAAGACTATAAAGACAGGCAAAATTCCTGTGTTAAAATTATAAGTTTAAAATTATAAGTATACATATGATCGATGAATAAACTTCTGAAGTACGAGAAAGCTGTCAGAGAAGAATACGTCTTTTTCTTCTCTCTTCTTTTTAGGGAAATACATTTTTTTCTGATCATCAAAACTTTTTAGAGCAATGAAATATGAAATAACGAACAGTATTCAAACTCAAAAGTCCACAAAACAATACAAAATAGGAGCAGAGCAAACACGGACCTCCAAAACATGAGATGGGATCAGGTGCCATGGAGGAGTTCAAAACATCCCCTGCCGACCGGTCATACCTCCTATGTGCCTCTTTTCATGATGGGGAAATGACAGAAAAATGCGTCGTCAATATTCAGTGTGTAGATAATGGCTTCACAATTGTAACGAAAAACGTCAGTCAGCATTTGACTCAATGATAAATTGTATTTGCTGACAAGATTATTTTAAAAATTATATCGACCATAGAACTAACGATATGATGACTTTAAACGTGACTGTTGATATTCTTGTTTCATCAACTTGTTTGTCAATAATTTACCTCCATAGAGCATGCTCTTGCGTATTGTATCAACTAAGATATATAAACCACGTATGTAGGTGATGAAGGTACATTGCTGCATAAGGAAAGGAAGCTGACGATTGAAAAGTTAAAGCCATCACGTTTATTATAGCACTTGGTCGTTAGATTAAACCATTAACGTCCTTTTCACGTAAAATATCCACTTATGAAACAGATGTGTCATACTCTGTGGTTTCTTTTATTTTAAGCTCACTGGGATATATCGTATTGACATAAGAAGCAGGATATCTGCTTTAATTATTATTTGGTATTTCAAATAAGGCCTTTGTGAATAAAGAAAAATGTACTCACTTATAGCTAAAACATTATAAATGGCTGCCATTTTGTTCCTGATAAAGTGGCCTGGACGTTTTATCAATAACACGATCTCCGCTAAATGCCACCTTAAATTCGAGATAAATTGTGATCCTCTTAAAAGGTCGCCCTGCCTTACACCTCATATTCGTGAGGTATGAAGGTGTTGTAATGATTTACATAATATTAGAAAAGTAAAAAAAAAAAAATATTAATAAAAGTCATTAAAAAGTTACTTACTTTTTAGTATAAAAAACAGTAAAATAATGGATTTGATGACGACCTTAGCATATATACATTGTAATTTCAGTTTCTATCCTTAGACGGCATGTACACTGTACAGTGTATTTAAATCGAGAATTTATCACCTACGTGTATCCTTTTCAATATTATAAAATAATTAGTACATAAAAACTATTTAGCCCGTGTCGAATATACAATTCTAAATAGACTTTAATGGGTATTAAGTTATTAGCTTCAAAGGGGGGGGGGACAACGGAAAAAAATGCTAATTTATTGTCCAATTCCTGGAATTGCCATTGCTCAACCTTGCAACATCAAAAAGCGGGGGGGGGGGACAGGATCTAAAGGAAGATTTACTATCTTTGACTATAATTATAGCAAAATACTTTACTCAGAAAAAAAGTAGCCCCCCCCCCCCCAACACACATACATCGCGTTCTGGGTTAAAATTCATGGATAGGAAATCAGTGTAATAAAGCAGGTAATATTATATAGATTGTTTACATCAAATTCCTTGAGAAAAACTTAATAATGAAAAAGTATGACCATGAAGAACAATTTTTCCGGAAACATTGGCGTTATTTATCGGTTCGTAATTTATCGAGCATGTATAAACATCCTCTTTGAAGTCAACACGAGTTTTCAGATGGTAGGTTGCACAACAATATTAAAATTTTCCTATATATTCTTACCAAAATGTGCAACTTTGAGTATGTGGGTATTAATTTAAAACAAACTTTTGAGAGGTTTCCTTTTCAGATCTTGTAAAGATCAGCACACCCTAAATTCACAGACCTGTGCTTGATACAGGACCCCCCCCCCCCCTGGCGTATATGTATTTTCGACCTATTTAGATGTTATTTATTGATTAAAAAAATGATTTATTGCAAACTTTATAAATTAAAAATGGATGATACATATATGTGATATAATAATATCCTATAAATTCAGAAAATTGTGTTTAAACTATACAATTTATAAAAAATATCTACCCTCTCTATATATAAATTAACTGATGATATTTATATAGAGAATTTAGCTACCAAATGAATTTAATAAAAAAGCATTTTTTTTAGGTGCAAAAATTTTTTGATTTGATCATTTTCAAAGATCTTATCACAAATATGGCAATGAAAGATTTCTTATGAAGAAAAAAATCAAAAAAGTTTTGGGGCTATGTATGACAGTTAGAGCAGTTACTCCTTGAATGAAATGACAAAGAAGTCCAGTTCCGGTTAACAATTATAACGGTAATTATTCAGCACAATGTGAAGTTTACATATCCTGGTGTATTGTATTTTCGACCTATTTAGATGTTATTTATTGATTAAAAAAATGATTTATTGCAAACTTTATAGAATCTGAAAAAATATGGGCTGAAAAGGATAGCATATATGTCTATTAATAAAATAATATAACCCAAATTGCAGTTTTGTGTTTATTGTACTTATATGCCATATTATGGGGAGGGTGCAGTTTTCCTTACAAAAGTATTAGCGTCTTGTGTTTTCGACCTAAATAAAGTATAAACACCCAGTCAGTATTGGCTTTAAATATCCGCTGGATATTCCAAACAATAAAAATATGATTGCCTATCTTAAAAAAAAAACATTGAATAAGTTGCATAATTTGGTTAATGCAATACTTTAATTTGTTGGTTGAACCTATCTGTCAGTAGCTGTACATTTCCAAATTACTTCAATGAAATTATGTAGCATTTTTCAGTGAAAATATCTGTAGAAAATGCCCATATCTAAGGAAGAAAAAAATTCATTTGATCCACCCATTCATGTTAATATTCTCTTTGACAGAGATCTTAATTTTCTTTCAGAAAAATTTTATCAAAAAATCTTTGTAATTAACCAATAACGGCTTTGATTAATCAACAGGTAAAATGTGCATTAGTAAAAAGACTAGAATATCTGACATCAGACTAAAACCATGGGGGAAAATCCCTTGAATTAATTATTTTGGGTATATTCACTACAGTTGTGCTTGAAAGAAATTTTTCGAAGTGTAGCAACCGAAAATAATGTTGTACCCCATGGTATCTGCATGGGAAGCAAATTGGAAAAAATGGGTCAAAAATACAATACGGTCAAAAACAGGATACAAGACGATACAAGCATTGTTTTTTTATCCTTCTATATATTTATTATCTAAAAATCCAACAAAAGAAAAAAAAATCAGCTCCAACGTCACTTGTCTGTTACGTCACAATTAATAATCATCGTTCAATATCGGCGACGCGAAAATAGCCGAAGTTAAGAGCTATTTTAAAAGAGTTGTTGCTAACAGCAAGGTAGGGTAGAAGGGAAGAGTATGTTTTGTGATAAAGAATTTTTGTGATATGATAGATTTATAATTGATTTTGCTTGCGGCCATAATTTTCCATATAAAATAATTGATAGTAAACGTGTATTGATAAAAACATTTTTACCTTCAGGTCCAACAAATCATATGTTGCCTTCATACTCAGTCAATAACTGTGTAATGATGGGAGTGTCCGCCCTTCTGTTACGCTTTGGGGTATATCCATCTCTTATTCGCAACTCCTCTTATTATATTTTTCAAAGATGTAGTCACATAACTGCATTAGTGTGTGCAAACAAATTTTCTTGTTATACCCTTATAAATAGCTTTCTGTATATTTATTACAAATAAAAAGTCCAACAACAGAAATGTTTATAACATCAGTCTAACAATTTCACTGTTGACTGGCCTGCCGGTCCAACATAACAATTGTTAGACCGCAACGTCACTGCTACGTCACAAGTAATTAATCATCGTTCAATATCGGCGACAGGGAAATAGCCAAAGTTAAGAGCTGCAAGAGTTGTTGCTACCAGCAAGGTAAGGAAGAAGGGAAGAGTATGTTTTGTGATAAATAGTTTTTGTGATAAAATAAAAAAAAATAATTTTGTTCTTTCTCAGCTATTGTTTTACATTTACTGATTAAGCCATAATATTCCATATTAAATGATTGATAATACAGTGTGTATTGATTGAATCTTAAGTGTGCACTGAAGTATATAACAAAACAGTTACAGACTGGGTATGAGGGCAACATATGATTTGTTGGACCTGAAGGTGAAAATGTTGCCCTTGGCCTGTGGCCTCGGGCAACATTTTCACCTTCAGGTCCAACAAATCATATGTTGCCCTCATACCCAGTCAATAACTGTTTAATATAAGTAAAATTTTATGAACACACAAATGCAGTTAGAAGACTACATCTTTAAAATAAACTAATGATTCAGTGCTTAAATATATGAGAAAATTATTTTCTCCTTTTGTGAATCAATCATTTTAACATTATTGCACATAATCATATTGATATTATCTATATCAGTACATGTATTAAAATGTAAAGGACCTCATCTATTTCAGTACATGTGTCTAAATGTATAGGACCTGATGTTTTTAGAGTCCTGAGATAATCAAACTGTAACCATGGCTGAAGGTGGAAGCAATAAAACGGTAAATAACATAGCTACACTTCAACCAAAGCAGCTTTTACTGTTAATTTTACATTATATTTTCCTTTATTCTGAATATGAATTTTATGAATGACTTTCAACAAAATCCTGCAAGAAATGTAGTTGTGCAAAAGAATGTTGTGAATACTGTATACAAGGAAATTTTTGTCCCTGTTTTATTTTAGCACCTTTGCCCTCTTCATGATTGGCAAATTTAAAATGGGGCTAATTCAAAGATCACAGCATAATTTCTTAATCAGAACTATGACTGGGTGAATATGAAAAGAGCTAATCTATTAGCAAGTGCCAAAGGACAAAAATAACAAGGGGTGAAAATAACTGTATAATATACAGTATATACCGGTATATTTAGGAAACAATGACAATGCATAAATAAAATTTCTGAACTATTTAAACACAACAGAACAAACTAGGCTCTTAATACCTAAGGTGAATTAATTAAGTAAAGGATGCATAAAGTGAGACTTAATTAAGTACTAAGTGTTCATTTCATATATTACTTATTTTTATGGTTTAGAAACTCTTGCTGCATTTTTCATCTCAAACAGAATAAAAGAAAAAAGACTATTGAATCAATGCACATATCTGGTCTTCTGCCATTGACTTTATACCACAAAATATTAAATGAACAGATTTCATTTGATACCGTATAACTGGATTTTTCTATGCCTTAACATGAGAGGTATCTTTTGTATAATATTTAAAAGTAATACTAGTACTATGCCAACCTTTATACTTGTGACATTCATGCAGTTTTTATTTGTAAACCAAGCATTAGATTAGTTGCCATCCATGGGACACCACATATTTTTTAGTTACTTTTTCTAGTTTTTATCAGTCAAGTCAACTCCAATGATGGACATATTTAACATTTTACAAATTTACATTGTATTAAACCTTCATTGAAGACATTATCACGTAAATTTTGTTGTGATTTTGTTTTAGGGCTTTCATCTGGAGGAGAAGAAGGGAGACTTGTTCACCTGTCCTTCCACCTGTTCCTTGGCCCACTGTATTAGCGAGGATGTCAGAATGGGTAAAGGCATCGCTGTACTATTCAAGAAAAAATTTGGAGGAGTTGAGGAAATTAAGAAGCAAGGTTAGTTTTGTTCTTCAAAAGTATTCACAAATAGGATGTTTTAAACATTATGTAGTTTAAATTTGGGATAGAATGTTCTATAAGCACTCTGACTGGAGATGAAGCCTCCTTTGAAAGTTTGATTTACCTGCAGGCTGAAGAATAACCCTGCACTTTCAGCCACAGGCACTTAACATAACATTTTTTTCTTAGTAAAATGATGTACCTAAAGGGTTTTTTTTAAATAAGAAAATATGTTACATCAAGTGCCAATGCCATCAGCCTGTACATGTCTTGAACTTTCATTGAATTCATATTTAATTATTTTGTAGAAAATTGTGTATGTTTTTCAAAACATCTGGTTTTTCTTGTGTAGTTTAGGGTGATTCAGTGTAATTTAGCTCTTTTTTTTGCTTTCATATCATAGGTGCGAAGCCAGGTGGAGTGGCAGTGTTAGAGAGAGGTGGACGATACATTTACTATCTGGTTACCAAAGTTAAATACAGTAATAAACCAACGTATGACAGTCTCAGGTCCAGCCTGGAGGCTATGAGAGACCACTGTCTGAAACATCAAGTCAAACAGCTGGCTATGCCCAGAATCGGTTGTGGCCTGGACCTTCTCAAGTGGGACGAAGTTCACCTGATCTTAGTGGAAACATTTCATGAGACAGATATTTGTATTACTGTATACACTTTATGACTTTATCTGATGACAATGACTGAATGTTAGGGTATGTGAAAAAGATTGTTATTGTTGGCAAATGTTTCCTCTGAATGGTCCCATAAGAATTATTGTATCCATTATTTTTATTTTTCTTTCTTAGTGCAAGTATAAAACTCTGCATTTCCAAGATTTACACCTACTACAGGAAGTAGTTTCCATATTCTTTTCTGATGTCTAATGTTATTGCAGTTTTATTAATTTTTGTCAATAAATTGTTATCACAGTTCTTGAGAGATTTGTATTGACTAACGCACAGGGATTAATCCATTCATGGTGATTTCTAAGGAATTATCCACATTTAACGAGCCACTTTTTTATGGGTAATAATCAGTTTAGGTAAAATGCAGTCATAAATAACCACTCTAAAAAATTTTCGTACAAATTGAGAAATAATATTTAAGATAGTTCTTTTAACAAGAATAACATATCATGCTTTTTCATTACATGGAAGTTCAACTTGGGATATTTCAAAAGAAAGAAATTATAAAAAAAAAAAAAAAAAAATTATTTTCCATTGTTGATTCTATCTAAATTCGAAAATATTTTTCCAAACCTTTTACTTGGTATATACATCAACTAATTTTAATAAGTTTTATAGTTACATATACATCAACTAATTTTAATAAGTTTTATAGTTACATATGCATATGGAATACATAAGCATCCAAATGGAGCAAAATAGCAAAATTACAATACTATGTAATGTGTCATCATCATGAATTGGGAAGAGTGTTATGCAATAATGTTGACAATGATAAATAAACAGATTAATGACATGAAATCATCAAAATATGGAGTTTATTTAACGAATAGCAGCCACCCCGCATGGAAACCCTGTGACATTGATTAATATCATACATGTAAATACATGTTTATGGTGATCAGGGTCTAGTAAGGAAAGTCACATTTATGTTCTAATAATTGAATAATAGTACAGGTTAGAAAGTTCTTATTCCTGCTGACAAACACCTTTACTTTATTTTCCGCCAGTAACTGTGTTAATGCGCAAAAAGTTTAAGGACCGATGGACCACCTTGAAGTAATACTTGCATATACAACTCATGTTTCATATAGATTCTAAATAATTTTCTCCCCTTACAAAATTGATTAGAATACAAATAAAAGTTTTAAAAATGATAAACTAGTTGTAGGTTTTTTTAAGGAGGCTAGGGGGTCAACAGATTATTGTTTTTTTTAGTTAACCACCAGATATAACTTTTATTTTAGATATGATATTTTAAGCTGTTAACTATCATTTGGCAAAGAAAAATTTCATAAATTTTAGTTTTAAGGAGATCAAAATAGTCTTAAAATGGCCACGACCACCCATCCCCTTCCATACAACCAATACTAATCTGTAAACTGGACGTAAAATACGGCCCCTGTATAAAATATTCTTTGTGTAGGAAATCAAATCAAATTTTAAATAAGCACCAAGTCTTGATACACATGTATTTGATTTAATTGGTAAACATAATTTTCAACCGTCCATGTCGCTTTATTTCAGAAGATGTATATTCTTTTACAGATTTTGAAGAAACATAAGCTCAAGAGCATGCTCTGATGAGTACTTTTTATTTTTTTTAAACACAGGCAGGCTTCTGCGAGAAAAGTTGATGTTACAAGGATTTCAACTATCTCATTTAAAGTTAGCATTTCGTAATATATTTGGTCGTTCTGATGACTTAGCAAAGACATTAGAGTTTGTTTGTTTGTTTGTTTGTTTTTTTTTTGCTAATGTGTTTCATGCCAATTTTAGGCCATTGTTTTTAAATCTGACTATACGAAGTATTTTGTCACCCAAAAATACACTGGGTTTTCGGTGACTGTGACCGAAAGACCGGGGTTACTATCTCCTCCTAACTATAAGATTTCCAGAGGTTCGTTTTGACAGATTTGTGTTGTTTGATCGATAATTGATGGTTATCTTTGCTTTTTTAATTGAATTCTATATAAAATCTGTATGTTTCCTTTCAGGAATAACGGGAAAGGAAACACGTTTGCAGCAAAGAAATATGTACATTTATATTTTGTATCCATATCAAGCAATGAATTTGATTGGTCGATTTACCGGGTATATATGTATGGAAGCATCCGCAGCTAGTGTAGATCTTGATTTTTTTTTTAATCTTGAGCATTGCTTTTTAGCGGGGGGGGGGGGGGGTCAACTTACCAAAAAAATACTTGACAAGCCAAGATTTTTTTTTTTTTTTAGATCTGGAGTGTTTTAGAGTACCTATACTAATTCACATACGAAAATAAATCGTTATACTTAATCAAATGTTCAGATTAGATGTTTAATTTGACTAGTACTTCAACCTTCATTAGGACAGATGTCTAAAATGTAACTGCTACAGTATATATGTGTACATTCGGGCAACAACCTTTAGCTTTATGTACATGGTTTAGGAGTGTAATCGGAAGTGAATGTGGGTATTTTACTATATACCCTGTGGTGAAGAGTTTCATTGATCAAACAGCAGTCATTTTCATGTCTATAAGTACGTCCTATAGAAGGTTTTGTTTCTTCACATGCCTGTTACATCAATCTCGAAAACACCTTCTAAGACACTTGGCCTGATAATTAAAAGTGCTCTTTACTTTTAATTTGAACAACCATCTCTCTCTCTCTCTCTGAAATCATTTTTCCTAAACACATATGAAAGAAAATTATTAAGTGGTAAAATTTGTTTTAAGAATGAACTCGGTAAATAACAAAACTTGCAATACAGAATTATTTTTATTTTCATTTAGTACTTAAAATACCATTATGTTTAAAATGTAGAGTTAAGTCTAATATTTTAAATAATTTGAACCATATTCCTTTTCTCCAAGGAAGTCTTCATATATTGATGAAAACATAATCCAATGAATATTGAATTAAATATATAAAAATACAATAATCAATTTTTTTAATCATTTCAAATTTATGAGTCAAAATGTTTATTTTTTTTATTAAAAATCCAATGAATGTTATTGTAAATGTACAAATCTGGTTATAAAACAAAAGTAAATAAGATATGTGAATTAAAAAAAAAAAATAGTCGTCGAATAGTATTCATAAAAAATCACAGGAGTCTGAAGTTTTTTTTTTTTTTTTTGTAAAATAAAAAATAAATAAATAAAAATCCGGAGAAAAAATATTCCTACCCTTAACTAAAAAACCCTTAGTTTTTTTCCGGATTGTTATTTTTTTTTTTTTTAACAATAAAAACTTCAGACTCCTGTGTAAAAAATGTACATGATTGACAGTAATTATCGCTACCAGTATGAGCCTCGACCTGTCATTATACTTTGTCTCTCTACTTTTCTGCACCGCCCTCTTTGTGGTCCAAAGGCAGTTACTGATCTATATAAGTACTCAAGATCCTACATAATTATAATATAGCAGAGTCTGGAGTTAAACAGCATCTTGCGGAAAAATTATACTTTGGATAATACATATTTAATATTTTCTTCCAATCACACGTCAACTTGATATATCCCAGTAAAATATAAATTACCACAGAGTCTTGCACATCTGTTTTATATTTGGATATTTTACTAGAAAAAAGACCTAATGGTAACCTAACAATCAAGATTTATGATGAACGTTATAGTTCTTCAACTTTTTCAATCGTCAACTTCCCTCACTAATGTAGCAATAAATCCTTATCATCTGTACATGGGGGTTTGTCTCTCAGCTGATTCAATACTCGGGAGCATGCTATACCTATGGAAAATTTCTAAAAAGAGGCAAGCAAGTTGATTAAACAAGGATATTAATAATCCTATTTGACGTCATCATTTCGCAATTTTGGTCGAAACTTTGTCTTTGTGAGCAAATACAGCCTATCACTGAGTCAAGTGCTGACGGAGGTTTTCCATTGTAATTGTAATATAGTACGTTATTTACGCATTGAATTCTCTACTCTTTATTTTCAATCTTGACAAGGAGCACACGGCGAGTGAGACTATTCGGCAGGGGTTTCTCAATCATCAATGGCACCTGATCCCACCTGTGATGTATGACAAGTCCGTGTTTGCTCTGCTTCTCGATTTGTATTATATTGCTTGAATGGACCGGACTTGTGAGCTGGAATATGTACCGTGTGTTATCTCCATATATTGCATGTAAATGTATATGAAGGGCGGTTATTAATGTTCTTGAATTCTGTGAAAGTTTCATCAAAGTTCATTCAGTGGTATGAGAGGAGTTGCGGATAAGAGATGAGTACCCCAAAGCGTAACAGACAGACGGACGGACACACCGATTACTATATACTCTCCCGCTTTTCAAGCGGGGGGTATAAAAATAGAAAAAAATCGTTACAACTAATTTAAAAATATTTTCACGATTGTTTGTTTTTTAAATTGGAAGTACGGTGAGATAAAATCTTTTTGAATTCGATATAACGAGATGTTGAATACTAGTATGTTATAACAAAACATATAATTCGCCATATCTGTTATACACATGTAACGAAATTAATTGGTCATAACAAATTTGTTGAATTCGTTAAAACAAATACGAAAGTTTGTTATAACGAATAAAGATTGTTTAAAGTTTTCTATAATGCTTCAATTTGTTGAAAAGAAATACTAGTTATTTTTTAAAACAGATTTAACAATTCGTTCTGTAAGCCTTAATTGTTAAATCTAATTTTATCAGAAATAATTCGTTAAAAATAACCAATTTTAGAATTTGTTTCCATTTTTTCCCCAACAAATTTAATTTCTTTTCATGAAAAGAGGAAGAGCCACTTTGGGCCTTATTTGGCCCTGATAATTTCTGAAAAATCAAAACCGATCAGTTTAGGTTGCAAATGCAGTATTCATCACTTGGAGTGTTGGTGACCACGTATCTATTAATCGTGACGTAATTCCCCATCTAGTCAATGCATTATAACGTCATAAAATGCGTCATTTTCCTCATATCCTGTAAATTCCTTTGAAAATGACCTAAAGTGGAAGCATTTTTTCAATATTTCATATAGGGCACAACCTCCGATCCAAAATATGCAAATACATAATTATGAAAGCTCTGTTTCTGAAGATGAAAAAAACATGTTTTATTTTTTGGATCGTGGCTGTGCTCATATTTTATTTCTTTGCTAAAGGTAGTCAAAAACGCATGTTTTCTGCAAATTTCAAGAACATTGCAATTTCGCAAACTTGTTTTCCAATATCTGAATTCTCAAAACGAAATTTTATTATAGAAAATGAAAGTATAAAGTGTCTACTTTA